GAAATCTCAGCTCACTGCAACCTCCGCCTCCAGGGTTGAAGTGATTCTCTTGCCTCAGCCTCCTGAGTAGCTGGGATTACAGGCATGCAACACCATGCCTAGCTAATTTTTGTGTTTTTAGTAGACATAGGGTTTTCCCATGTTGGAGAGACTAGTCTCGAACTCCTGACCTCAGGTTATCTGCCCGCCTCAGCCTCCCAAAGTGCTGGGATTACAGGCATGAGCCACCGTACCCAACCAAAACCACTTCTTGACCTTGTGACGGCCTTCAAGTTACTTATCTTTTGTTTCTTCACCTGTCTAATGTGGATACGGTTACCCATCTCATGGGAGTGATGTACGAGTTAAATGAGTTAGATGAGGTAAAGCATGCACAGAATCGGTCCTTGGTATATGTTAGACCCCTGCCTCTGCCCCTCCACAGAGATTGTCTATCACTTCCTGGCCCTACCACCTTTCTCCCTCACTTTTATTTCCTAGTGTTCAACTCCTTGGACATGTCCCGCTCTGTGTCCGTGACAACAGCAGGGCAGTGCCGCCTGGCCCCGCTGATCCAGGTCATATTGGACTGCAGCCACCTTTATGACTACACTGTCAAGCTGCTCTTCAAACTCCACTCCTGTGAGTACCGCAGGCCAGATCTTCTTATGTGAGATTCAGGCCAGAGGGAGGATCCCGGCCTGAGGATGTCCCTGGAGAAATGCAGCCCTTCTCAGTGCCTTTGGCTGTATCTCCAGTTCCAAAAGGCCCACGAGCTCCTGACCATTGTGAGGATACAAGAGCAGGGCCCGGGCTTTGGTGTGTCCAGGAAAGCACCTGGCTTGCCACTGTCGTGTCCCAGTGTGTTACGGGATCTTTAGGGTGTTGATTTTCTGGCTGGAAACCTCTGTGGCTAGTGGCGCCTTTGCCTGAGTTCTTGTTCTGCATCCGGGAAGAATGAGGTAGGCAGACAAGCGGAGGGTGGACAAGATGAAGAGGGGTGTTAACTGAGTATCAGAGCAGCTCAGAGGAGACCGCAGTGGGTAGCCCTCTCTGTAGGCAGAGTGCTCAGCTCTCAGCAGGAAAGAGACCACAGAGTGAGTCGCTCCCCTCTGCTGCTGGTCGTCCTGGCGTTTCTGCAGGTCTCTGAAGCCCTCAGCAGACAGAGTTGCTCCTCTTTGTAACTGGTCATCCATCTCCGCTTAGCTGTGGCTGAGCTCAGGGCTTTTATGGGCCTCAGAGGGGAGGAAATGCACCCCCACTGGTCCATGGGCAGACCCAGAAAAGGCACCATAAATTCCCATTTCGGTCTGTGGGATTGGCAGCCCAGCCCCCACTGGGGACCCTCTGCTTCCACTCAGGAATCTCTCTGCCTCCTGCTGCCATTCATGGCACCAGGGTTCAGCCCCAACTTTGCTCTACGATTGGAGTGGATGCCGACAGAAGGGAAAAGAAGTCAGGCAGCGGGAGAAGGTTCTTCTGGGTCTGTAAGGGGAAGGAGAGCCTTCCCAGGCCCAGAAGAATGCAGAGATGCCTGAGTCTGCAGCTGGGCTTGTGGGTGGGTGTGGGGTGGCAGGGCTGCTACCTGCTCCAGGGAGCAGGAGGCCCTGGTCTGCAGCTGCAGCTGCACTGGGGAGGGCAGGGTTCCTGCCTGCTCCCAGCCCCCTAGAGAGCACAGGGAGGCTCAGATCTGCAGCCACAACTTGGGTGGCTACAGCCACACCCAGCGGGGGAGAGGCTTCTGCCTGCCCCATGGAGTACACAGCCTTGGCCATGCCTCTCTGCCTCAGCTGGCGTGATGGCAGTGGCAGGTCACCTGGACTGGTGGCTGCCATTGCCAGGTCCTCTCTGTCTGCCTCTAGCTTCAGCACATCACCATTCCTTAAATGTGTCATGTATCCTACGAACCACACAGTTAACAGCAGACCCGGCCTAGACCTGCATGAGCTAACGTAATGATTTCCAGACCATTTATCCACACGATCCCTTTGTGCGAATGGAATTTTATGGAGAAATATAAATTATAAAACACAGCTGCTCATTAAATGGAGATCTAACCCTCACCTAGCTTTAGTTCCCTGGGGTGCCCTTAGCAGAATATATACAGTTTGGAGGTTCTGGTCTTGCACAGGTTCTCACAGCTTTTTTTTTTAAGACAGAGTCTCACTCTGTCTCTCAGGCTGCAGTGCGATGGTGTGATCTCAGCTCACTGCAACCTCTGCCTACCGGGTTCAAGCGATTCTTGTGCCTTAGCCTCCCAAGAAGCTGGGACCACAGGTGTGTGCTACTACACCCAGCGAATTTTTGTTTGTTTTTTGAATTTTTGGTAGAGATGGGGTTTCCCCATGTTGACCAGGTTGGTCTCAAACTCGTAGCCTCAAGTGATCCGCCCACCTCAGCCTCCTGAAGTGCTAGGATTACGGGGTGTGACCCACCACACCCCGCCAGTTCTTACACTTTTGTGTGCTTCTGGTTTAAAATGATGCGCCTGGGCCAGGCACAGTGGCTCACACCTGGAATCCCATCACTGTGGGAGGCTGATGCAGGCAGATCTCTTGAGCTCAGGGGTTGGAAATCAGCCTGAGCAACATAGCGAAACCCCTGTCTCTACAAAAAATATAAACATTAGCCAAGCATGGTGACATGCGCCTATAGTCCCAGCTCCCCAGGAGGCTAAGGCTGGAGGATTGCTTGAGCCCAGAAGGCCAAGGCTACAGGGAGCCATGTTGTGCACTCCAGCCTGGGCAACAGAGCAAGACCCTGCCTCAAAAAAAAAAAAAAAAATAGTAGTATAAGACAGTCTACTCTGTAACTATGGTCATTGACACGTCATGAATCTCGTTATTTAGACAGTACAAGGGAAGGAAGTAGCATCACTTGGATTAATCTGGGATGGTTTTGTGGAATTAGCTGCCCAAGGATTAGAAAGGCTTAGCAAGTCAGCCTGCCGGAAGGGAGCTGGGAGGGTGCAGTGAGCCCCCAAGAGAAGGGACCAGCTACTTAGAGCACTGAATACAGATGAACTTTTCCTTGTTTTAAATGGAAACTTCTCATTATTTCCAAGAACACTGTTGCTCAATAGAACGTCGCCACTGCCTTTTTGTAAAATGGGGAGTTAAGCCGGGCGTTGTGGTGCACACCTGTAGTCCCAGCTACCCGGGAGGCTGAGGGAGTTATGAGAAGAGACAGGCCATTACGTGTTTGGGTTTAAAGGTGGGGCGATACCCATGACCCACACTGATTGCCTCTGGGCTGGGGAAGGGGTAGGAGGGATACTCTCTACCATATATACTTGTTTTTGAGACAGGGTCTCACTCTGTCATCCAAGCTGGAGTGCAATGGCACGATCTCAGCCCATTGCAACCTCCACCTCCTGGGTTCAAGCCATTCTCCTGCCTCAGCCTCCCAAGTAGCTGGGATTATAGGTGCCCGCCACCACACCTGGCTAATTTTTGTATTGTTTTTAGTAGAGACAGGGTTTCTCCATGTTGGCCAGGCCGGTCTGGAACTCCTGAGCTCAAGTGATCTTCCCGCCTCGGCTTCCCAAAGTGCTGGGATTATGGGTGTGAGCCACTGCACCCGGCCCTCTGTTCTAAAAACATTTATTTTTGTTTTAGGCCTACGGAAAAGTTATAAAAATAGAAACGAGAGTTCTCGTATGCCCAGTACCATGTTCCATGTATTCATATGTTAGTGTGAGACGTTTGTCACAACTGATGAACCAGCATCGAGGCTTTATTGTTAATTAAAGTTTGTACTTTATTCGGATTGTCACAGTTTTCAACCGAATGCCCTTTTCTGTCCCAGAATCTCATCCAGTACACCATATGACACCATGTGACATTTAGTTGTGATGTCTCCTTAGGTTCCTCTTGGCTATGATGTTTCGTTTCTCAAACTTCCCTTATTTTTGATGACTTTGACAGTTTTGAGTTTTTTGCATAATGTTCCTGGATTCTGTTTGCCTGATGTTCTTCTCCTGATTTAACTGGGTAAAGGGTTCTTGGGGGAAAGATCATTTAGGTCAAGTACCATATTCATTCACTGTCAACTTTTGCCATTTTGCTTTTGTTTTT